TTGCTAGGGACTTGCCCGGCACTTGCTCTCTACCTCTATTTGTTATCTTACTTCTATCATTGACAGTCCCTCTAGGTTGTGGGCTGCTTGCCTGTGTTCCTGAGAAGCATCTACGGTACCAGTCTATAGAGTGTGTTTTCTTTAGTGAATTACCGGTATGTTTACCGGTAATAAACTTGCACTGTTTTATGTATATGTTTGATTACATACAGCCTTGTGACAGTTTTCCTGCATGTCATAAGCATTTGAATATAAATTAAAATGTTAAAATCAAATCTGATATTGTTTTACCTTTTATTTGGTGTGTGGAAGGTGTGCGGAAGAGGGGGTAGTCTTATACGGCGAGTATATAACAAACTCTGTATTTTGAGTGGAAATGTTAGGGGGTCGTCTTATACGCCCAGTCGTCTTATACGCCGGCAAATACGGTACCACAGATGTGTGCATACCAGGCTATCCTTCCCCTAACCTACTCTTTGTGGCCAGGCTACAACCAAGGTGCCACATACTCCAGTCCTGATTTGAACCAGCTTACATAAACCAACTGGCACCCAGTCTACATAAAGGCCACTTCTACACAGACCACTTTTTCACGATTAGGAGAGATACCTATCACATCTATATTATAGAAACAGCCAGAGAAAGTCAAAATAAGACAGTAATATGCTCCAAATGAAGGAACAAGAGCAAAATCCAGAAAAATTTCCTAATGAAATGGAGGTAAGTAATTCCCATTATAAAGAATTCAAATAAATGACTACAAGGATGCTCAACAAACTTGAGAGTATAATAGGGAAACTCAGAAAGAAAGAAGAGAGTTAGAAAATATAATAAAAAGCCAAAGATAAAGAATGCAGTAACTGAAATGGGAAAACACATTAGAAGGAATCAACAGTAGATTTCATACAGAAGAACAGAGTAGTGATCTGGAGACAGAATAGTCAAAATTCACCAATCAGGATATTAATAAGAAAAAAGCATTTTCAAAAACAAGGATAGTATAAGGGGCCTTTGGAACATCAAGCACACTAGGGATACACACATTATGGGGATACCAGAAGAAGACAGAGAAAGGGGCAGAAAGTATATTTGAAGAAATAATGGCTGAGAACATTTCTAATCTGACAAAGGAAACAAAACAAACATTCAGGTCCCAGAAGCACAGTTTCAAACAAGATGAACCCAAAGAGGCCCACACCAAGACATATTGTAATTAAAGTGGCAGAAGGTAAGGATAAAGAGAGTCTTGAAAGCAGCAAGAGGAAAACAATTCACATACAAGGGAAACCCCGTAAGTTTATATCAGCTGATTTCTCAGCAGTAACTTTACAGGCCAGAAGGGAATGTCAGGAAATGGTTAAATTGTTGAAAGAAGAGAACTTACAACCTGGAAATACTGTATCCAGCAAAGTCATTGTTCATGGGAGAACCAAGATGGTGGCGTAAGGTACAGACCTATTTGTGCTGCCTCCCACAACATTGAAAATACCAACTATAAGACAAAACAGCTATCATTCAGAACCATGGGAAAGCTGGCCCAATGGAAGTTCTACAACTGGAAGGAAAGAAAGAAGAGTATTGAGACTGAGTAGAATCTGCAGAGGCACCAAGAACAGAGGTATGGAGGCGCGCGCCAGGCGGGCTGCAACTGGATGTGCGTTTTTTTTTTTTTTTCAATCTGGAGGGATTATAAACTCTCGCCACTGAGCTTGTTTGGCGCGGGATTCTGAGGTCCCAGACCCCTACAGGGAGAGGTGGGACGGCCTTGCAGCAGACCGGAAAGCGAGGGTGGCTTTCTCGCGGAGCTGCTTGCCAGCACTCCGGGACACAGAGTCATGGAGAGGCGAGGAGTCGCGGAGAGGCGAGGAGTCGTGGAGACACCATTGCTGTTTGCTCCACCCTGGTGATTCCCTGAGACCCTGCCCTACTCAATTTACATCCCCATCCAAGCTGTGCCAGAGGCACAAAAGTTATTGTTCATAATTGGAGGAGAGATTTTTCCAGACAAGCAAAAGTAAAGGAGTTTATCACCTAAACCTGTTTTACAGGTTATCTTAACGGGTCTTTGTACTCAAAAGACCATAACCAGAAATAAGAAACTTTAGGAAAGAAAAAAAAGCAGATATGTAAAAGCAAATAGAGAATTAACAGTGAATCAGCCACTTAAAATGCTAATATGAAAGTTAAAAAACAAAAATAGCAAGATTAACTATAACTACAATAAATAATTAGATGATACAGAAAATAAAGACATATACAATATGACATCACAAACATACATGGTGGAGTGGTGAGTAAAATGCTGGTGCTTTTAGAATGTGTTTGAACTTAAAGGCCTATCAGCTTATAATAGTGTGCTATAGATATAGATGTATATGTATGCATCTCATGGTAACCTCAGACCAAAAACCTAGAAAAAATACACAAAAAATAAATAGAAAGGAATAAATCCTCCTCCTCTCCCCCCTCAAAGAAAACTAGTAAATTTAATGGAAAGAGACCAGGAGATTAAAGGAATAGCAGAATTACAAAACAACCAAAAAACAAGAAATGGCAAGCACGTACCTATTAATAATTACTTTAAATGTAAAGGGCCTAAATGCACCAATCAAAGACATAGGGTAGGTGAATGGATTAAAAAAACAAGACCCATCTATATATGGCCTGCAAGAGACTCATTTCAGATAGAAAGACACATAGACTAAAAGTAAAGAGATAGAAAAAGCTATTCTGTACACATAGAAGTGAAAAGAAAGCAGGGGTAGCAATACTCCAGACAAAATAGACTTGAAAACAAAGTTTGTAAAAGGATAAAAAGCTGTTATATAATGATAAAGGGGTCCATCCAGGAACATATAACAGTCATTGATATCTATGCATCCAACATAGGAGTACCTAAATATGTAAAGCGAGTAATAACAGACATCAAGAAATTGACAGCAATACAATAATAGTAGGGGACTTTAATACCCCATTATCAACAATAGATTTATCAGATAGAAAATCAATAATTTGTCTTAAATGTCACATTAGATCATATCAACTTAATAGATATTTAAAGAACACTTCATTTAAAAACTATAGAATACACATTCTTCTCAAGTATACATGGAACATTCTCCACAGTTGAATATTGAAATCATATCCAGTATCTTTTCCAATCTAAACAGTTTGAAACTAGAAATAAACTATAAGATGAAAACTAGAAAGAATACAATCACATGGAGACTAAACCACATGCTACTAAGCAACCAATGGATCAAAGTGGAAATCAAACGGGAAAACAAAAACTACCTTGAAGCAAATGAAAGAGAAAAATACTGCTCTGAAAATGTTTTATAATACAGCAAAAGCAATACTAACAGGTTTATAGCTATACCTGCTTACCTCAGGAAACACAAAAGATTTCAAATAAGCATCTTACCTTTAAACTTACGAACTAGAAAAAGAAGAAGAATCAAAACCCTAAGTAAGTAGAAGGAAGTAAATAATATAGATTAGAGCAGAAATAAATGAATTAGTTACTAAAAAGTAATAGAAATGATCTATGAAACTATGAGATGGTTCTTTAAAGGATGAACAAAAATGATAAAGCTTTAACCATCCTCATCAAGAAACAAAGAACCCAAATAAATCAGAAATGAAAGAGGGTAGGTTACAACCAACACCACAGAAATACAAAGGATTGTTTAAAAAATACTATAAATACAATAAGTAATATGCCAGCAAATTGCACAAACTAGAAGAAATAAATTTCTAGAAACATACAACCTTTTAAGATGGAACCATGAATAAGCAAAATCTGAACAGACTGATAACGAGCAAGGAAATTGATGTAATAATGGAAAAACTTTCATCAAACAAAAGTCCAGGATCAACATAGTATTGGAAGTCTTGTCCACAACAGTTACACAAGAAAAAGAAACAAAGGGCATCAAAATTGGCAAGTAAGAAGTAAAATTGTCACATATGTTTTAAGATTGGATTATTAAAACATGTGACAGTTTTCTTTTGTAGAGTCTGTGATGCTATGTTTAGAGAACCTTAAAGACTATAAAATACTAATGGAATTAATAAGTGAATTCAGTCAAGTATCAGTATACAAAATTAATATATAGGAATCTTTCATAATTTTATACACTAATAACAGATGATCGGAAGGAGAAATTAAGAAATGAATCACATTTACAATTGCAGTAAAAAGAATAATATATCTAGAAATAAATTTAAACCAGGTGAAAGATCTATACTCTGAAAACTTTAAGATACTGAAGAAGTCAAAGAGGACACAAATAAATGGAAGGATACACCATGCACATCATTAAAATGTATTTACTACTCAAAGCAATTTACTGATTCATTGCTATCCTTATTAAAATACTAATGGCATTCTTTTCAGAACCAGGACAATTAAATGGAATTACAAAAGACCCCAAATAGTCAATGCAATCTTGAGAAAGAAGAACAAAGTTGGAGGTATCATGCTCCCTGGTTTCAAACTATATTATAAAACCATCTTAAACAAAACACTATGGCACTGGCCCAAAAGCAGACACATCAATGGGACAGAATAGAACCTGCAAAGAAACCCTCACTTATATAGTCAATTAATCTTCGATAAATGGACATGAATATACAATGGAGAAATGAGAGTCTCTTCAATAAGTAGTATTGGGAAAACTAGATAGATACCTGCAAAAAAATGAAACTGGATCCCTCTTTTATACCACATACAAAAATAAACTCAGAATGGATTAAAGACTTATGTAAGACCTGAAACCATAAAACTTTTGGAATGAAACATAATTAATAAACTATTTGACATCATTTATAGCATATCTTTTTAGATATGTCCCCTCGAGCAAGAGAAACAAAAGCAAAAATAAACAAATGGGGTTTCATCAAACTAAAAAGCCTCTGCACAGTGAAAGAAATGATCAACAAGATGAAAAGGTAACCTACTAAATGGGAAAAGATATTTGCAAATGATATATCCCATTAGAAGTTGATATTCAAAATATATAAGGAGCTTATACAACTCCATAGCAAAAATAATCCAATAAAAAATAGAGGGCACTGAATATTTCTCCAGAGAAGATGTACAGATGGTCAACAGACATCAAAACATGCTCAACATCACTAATGATTAGGGAGATGCAAATAAAAACCACAATGAGATATCACCTCACACCTGTCAAAATGGGTATTATCAAAAAGTCAATTAGCAAGTGCCAGCAAGGACTTGGAAAAAAGGTAACCCTTCTGCACTCTTGGTGTGATTATAAATTGTTGCAGCCACTATAATAGAAAACAGTATTGATATTTCTCAAAGTTAAAAATAGAACAATCATACAAATCAGCAATTTCACTTCTACATTTTTATCCAAGGAAAACAAATACTAATTTGAAAAGATATATGCATCACTGAGTTCATTTAGCAATATTTACAATAGCTAAAATATGGAAGCAACCTAGGTGTCCATCAATAGCTGAATAGATAAAGATGTGATCTTTAGTTAGAAAATATTATGTATTTTCAGTTATTTTGCTAGTTGTATGACCTTTCTCTATGTTTCATTTGCTTTTTTTTAGGGTAAAGTAGCTGAACGTGGTACCCATCATGGTTTGCTTGCTAATCCTAGCAGTATCTATTCAGAAATGTGGCATACACAGAGCAGCCATGTGCAGAACCTTGGTAACTCCAAATGGCATGCAAAGAAAGAAAATGTATCCAAAGAGGAGGAAAGGAAGAGACTACAAGAAGAAATTGTGAACAGTGTGAAAGGCTGTGGAAACTGTTCCTGCTAAGTCACATGAGACATTTCCTTTTATTTTTATTTTTTGACTATACATTTGCACTGAAGCAAAATTGTTTCATTAAAAAATTATATATTCCCATTTTCCATACTCCTTCTTTTAGATAAGATTTATTTGAAAGTGGATTTGAGTTTTATATCTTTTACAAACTCTTAAACTATATTTAACCCCAAATTATTTTCTTGTTATTGTTTTCACTTTGCTCAAATCATTATTTTTGTTACTATCTGACTTTATCCCATTTCCAGTTTGGAGGCCTGAGAGCCATTTGATGATATTTACAACCAGATGAATCGGATTGGTTCCAAATTTTTATAGTTTTTAAAACCTCCTTTATGCTGACAATTTCGGTGGAAAATGTCTGTTTGTTTTTTATGAAAAAAAGAGGACAGTAAGGTTCATTGTTTTCCTTTTCTGCAACCTCCATTGAAATAATTCTGTGATAGATATCTATACTTACATTTTTAAAGTGTTCTCCACTATAACCTTTTTGAAGAAAAACCTCAATTCTCATGTTAGTTAATATAGAATGTTCTTCGTCATTAACCAGCATTATAACTATCATCTAGTGGTGAGAATTTTATTTTTTTTCCACCAAAATAAGATACTGCTTTCGTTTTGGACCAAAATTTATATATTTCTCTTTAAAGACTAAAGAACCCTGATATAATTTGATATTTGCCATACTGGCAGTAATAGCCTCGGAAATTAATAGCTTTTTCTGTTTCCATCTTAAATATACTGCTTTTGTTATCTGAAGTTACACAAAGAAGCAAATAAATGAGATATGTGCATGCATGTGTGTGTGCACACGTTCACACGTGAATATAGCAACATCCACTTAAACATTCTTAGAGACCTTTAGGTAAATAGGAGAGGGTTAGATGAACAGGACTCTAATCTGTATTGACACTTCAGAGTTACTTTATTTCAACATCTCCTCTTTTTCAGTAATTTAATGAGTCCCTTTAAGCTTGATTTAACAGGAGGAGCCCAAATGAAATATTGAAGTTTTACCTGCTGGAAATAATTAATAAAATGTTGATACTTGTTCACTGAGAAAGCTCTTCTCTCTTATAATTTGAATTTGCTTTCATTTGTTTGGTAGTAATCATTCAGTTTGAGAAACTGTATTTCATGACCAACCACATGACTATATTATGAGTCTTTATTTATCAGAAAAGGTTTTAAAGTAGTTATTTTATTGGTTTATGGGTTAGTGTGTTTTAAATGATAATTTGGTCTGGGTGAGACTAATGTTTCCTTGTTTTGTATATTCATTTGTGGGCGGATACTTATCTAACTTGAGTATCCAGTTTTGTTATATAAAGGCAATTTGACAAGTGGCTTGCAACCAGTATTTCATGATTAGTCTTTGACATCAGAGTAAGTGATGCAGGATCTTGCTTTTGAAGTTGTAGTTAATACTGAGATGCATAATCAACTGAAAAATGGGGGGAGGAATGAACATTTCTTAATTTGAAGCCATAGACATTATTACTCTTCTGAAGGAAAATAAAAAGCAATTCCTTTAAACAAATCAGCTGTATTACTAGAAATGTGCTTATTCTAGATAGAGATTTTGTTTCTGTTAACTCCTTCTATACATTTTCAATGATGCTGATGGAAAAGATTTAGCTTAGCTGTATAATCAAGCAGGTAAAATTGAAGTAGCCATCAGAAATATTCATTTTGAGTGTGAATAGTGATATTCAAAGTAAGTGATTCTGCAGTGTGTGAAACATTTAGTCAAAAACATTTAGTCAAAGAAAAATAGGAATGTTTTTAAGTTGGGGGTAATTTCCCCAGTAAGGGTTTTGAAGCACTTTTTTTTCCCATATGATTGGAAGTGGTTTCTAGACCATTGGGTCATTGTGGTCATTAACCAATATTTTCAGCTAATAAAAAGTTACCTGAAACACACAGATTTTGTAGGGGTCATAACTAAATCTTAAATATTTTTCTCTTCATCATATTAAGGTGAGTCCTTACAGTGAAATAATAGACTAATTAAAATGAAAGAAAAGTTTTCTAGGATGATTCAGAAGAAATGGCTAGAAAAAGAGCTTTTAGTATAATTACATTACAATATTACATACACAAAAGGATAAAGTGTATAAATTTTGCAAATCAGTACTGCAACATAGTTTTTTTAAAATATATTTTTATTGATTTCAGAGTGGAAGGAAGGAGAGAGAGCTAGAAACATTCACTCTCAATGATGAGAGTGAATCACTGATTGGCTGCTTCCTGCATATCCCCTCCTGGGGATTGAGCCTAGTACCTGGGCATGTGCCCTGACATGGAATCAAACCGTGACCTCCAGATTCATAGGTTGATGCTCAACCACTGAGCCACACTAGCTGGGCTGCAACATAGTTATGTATTGGGATAAGTTGGAGTTTTGAAAAAGAGGCTCTTAAGATGGAGCATGATGATAGGGTTTTATCTCATCCCATTATTTTAAACATTTACTTTCTTCATAAGGGAATTCCAGTTTACAAAAATTAAATTGAAAGCGAGGTAATTTGGGATCATAAAAAATGGGCCAGATGTCTTCTTGAAGGTTTTTAACATAGAAATAACTTGATGAGCACATAACCTCATTTGGAAATTGAGGGTCATTCTTAGAATCAGAAAGAAATCTTAGCATTTGGACAAGCTCACAGTATGTATTTACTTTTCTTCAGGGATTTGTACCTTTTATATACCCTAAGATAAATATTTTGCCTTTCCCTTTAGATACTGACAAAGCTCAGTTTTTTTTTTAAATATATTTTATTGATTTTTTACAGAGAGGAAGGGAGAGAGACAGAGAGTCAGAAACATCGATGAGAGAGAAACATCGATCAGCCGCCTCCTGCACACCCCCCACTGGGGATGTGCCCGCAGCCCAGGTACATGCCCTTGACCGGAATCGAACCTGGGACCTTTCAGTCCGCAGGCCGACGCTCTATCCACTGAGCCAAACCGGTTTCGGCAAAGCTCAGTTTTTAAAGATGGCTAGTTCAAAAATATATTTTACTTTAAAGACAAGATAGTTCAAGATTATATGATTCCTTATTTTGGATCACTTTGACCATACTGCCGTATTTCCTAATTGCTGGCTGTGTCAGTAAGTAGCAACTTTTGCCAGTGTATATACATAATTCTCCAACCTTGTAGGACTTTTGTTGTGGATTAGTAGTTGCAAGCATTTGAATGTTTGTAATGGCAGCTTTCTTAAATTATAGATTGAGGTTCCTTTTCTCTCTGCATTAAGTATGTAGATTTTGAATGTAATGGTATTAAGTGACAATATTAAGTCAAAGAAGCTGGTTGAAACTGATTAGTTAAGACAAAATTAGTTAAGAGTAGCAAGAGAGGCCCTTAATGACAGTTTGCTCTTACAGCAGTATGTGCAGATAATCAGCAGTGGGTGTCCCAATAAAGCAACTTTTTTTGCAATGCACAGGCAGAATTGATATTTTGTCCCTCACACACTTAAAATAAGTACAGATAATTAATAGGCACTGGGAGTATTGCCTTACAGTCTTATGCAGAAGGTGAAAACTTGGAATTATTTCAGAAAGAAATTAATTGCTTGGATAGCTTATAATATGGCTTAAAAGGTAACAAATTATATACTTTTTTCTCTTAGAATTGAGCTGTCATACTATTTTTTTTTTTTTTACAAATTAGTGAAAGGCAACTTTTTATTGCCCAGAGTTTCTGTTCTTAATGGTCAAGAAGGAAACTTTTGGGGTAGAGAAATGTCTTAACTGCAAACCATTCATTAAATTAGCATTTTGATTAGGGAGAGGCAGTTGAAATGAAATATGTTCTAGTTACATAACAGGTTAGAACATTTTTTATTTTAAAAAGGCAGCAGGGCCCTGACTGTTTTGGCTCAGTGGGTAGAGCATCGGCCTGTGGAGTGAAGGGTCCCAGGTTCGATTCCAGTCGAGGGCATGTGCCTTGGTTGCGGGCACATACCCAGTGGGGAGTGTGCAGGAGGCAGCTGATCGATGTTTCTATCTCATCGGTGTTTCTAACACTCTATCCCTCTCCCTTCCTCTCTGAAATCAATAAAAATATTTTTTTAAAAGGCAGCAAGTTATTTCCATATTTCTTGTTAAATTTCTATTTCATAAAATCATAGGATTTTAGAGTTGGAAGGAATTTAGAGGCCCTTTAATCAATTTACTTCTACAAATGTGGAAACTGAACTTCAGAAGAAATCACTGAGCTTGCTAGAGACCATGCTGGAATGAAAACTCTGGCTCCTGAACACCCAGTCCATTTCTCTTTTTGCTGGACTACATTTCCACTCAGATATTATATTAAAAAATACAGTTGCTTCTTGAACAGCATAATCTTTGTATAAGTGGACCCACACCCAGGACATAAAAGCAGAATGTGAGACAGACTTAAAAGCATTTTCCAATACATGCAGATCTGTGACACAGGATGTCATGGTTCCCACACAGGGCAATAAGTTTGCTGGCACAAGAAACTTTGCCAAACTGAGCAAAAAGTTGCTCTGCTCCACAGGTGACTCCTAGAAACACCAGCCTAAAAATAATATCACACTCATCCCTGGCAATCTGGAAGGCAATGTGTATGACCAAGGCTGTGCCTTCGCAGGACAGAAAAGGAATCACCATGCTACAAGTCCCTGGCTGAAAATCAAAAGTAAATTCCCTAAAATATGTTAGTGGCCACCAAGCACACACACAACCAATAGTGAAGGTTAAGATCTTACTGACCAGTAAATGTGTTATGCTGACTCAGGGACAATCAGGTAGCTAGAATAAAAGATAACATAGGACTGCATACTGCAGGGGAAATAAACAACCAAGCAAATAATGATCCCTCAGAGGAGGAGGATCATTATCCATAGTTGTTATCCTATCTAATAAAGTGGTAATATGCAAATTGACCATTACTCCAGCACAAGATGGCCGCCCCCCATGTGGACACAAGATGGCCAGCAGAGGAGGGCAGTTGCAGTTGACAAACCCTGCAGGGGAGGGCAGTTAGGGGCAATTGGGCTGGCAGGGGAGGGCTGTTAGGGGTGATCATTCAGGCAGGGGATAATGGT